AGATCTCCAGAGTAGGCGACGTGCTGACTGAGCCACTGGTGAGAGGCTGTTTCCACACACCTTCTCACAAGTTGAGGTAGTGACGTCAAATGTGCCAGACCTGGACAGTTTTGTCAGTTTAAATTTAAAATGCTTACAACAGTCAAGATGTTGGTGAGAAATTTCTGAAATAAATCACACATCATTCTGCTCGTTTTGGGTGTCAATTATTTTGATGGCATTTGATCTAAAACTGAGCAAATAACAAAATGTTGTGCATACTGTACAAGTTAGAGCAAGATACTGGATATCATTGCAGACTGACTGTTAGACCGATTTAAAAACCGTTTGATACACTTAATATTGGTCATCTAGAGAATGTCTGTGTTGATTTTGGTAGCGTTTGATGAAAGACTTGTGCACATTCATTGATTTAGCAGATTCTGAAAAATGTAGAGTGACTGACTTCTGATTTGACCACAGGTTGCAATGAGACAAATGTTTGTTGCATATCGGTGGATGTGCTGAAAAACATTCAGCTCTCTAGGACGTATGGGTGATTTTGGTAGATAGTCAAATCGTGTGTGTTTTTGAGAAGCTGCAGAGCTGCAGTCTCTATTCATTAGTCACTGTAACCTAAATATTTACAGCTACACTTAGGTTTATTGCCATTCACCGGTCGTGCGCAGAGTTGTGCATGTCCGTCAATTCACCAACAGTTGCATGGACCTCGCGTTTCCTCGTGGGTCTATTCCAAGTACTGCTTAAAAACAATGAACCGGTAATATTGTCTGTGTGGTTCACCAATGATGATAAATGATCCGAACGTCCCGCAAAGTTCTCACCCAACTTTGCCCAACACCAGCCAACCTGCGCTGCTGGTGCTCTGTCTCTCTCCCCCTTCTACCCATTTTACCCCACACACACGCTACGCTAGACATGCGCACTGACGCCTCCTCCTGAAGGGTTAAGGTTACCATTTTGGATTTATTCCCGCACTTTAAAAAGATTTATTAAAAGCTTCTTTCTTTTCACATGTTTACTTACAGCATTATATGCTGATGTTAATAAAATAATGGCAGTAAATTAACTTATTGGGAGTTCTATGTAAAATCAGACATTGAGCCATAGCGCCAAAATGGTATGATCCTTTTTTTTTTCTCCTTTTTTTTAAACCTTTATTTAACTAGAAAGAAAACTCATTGAGATTAAAAATGTCTTTTCCAAATGCATCCTGGCCAAGACAGGCAGCAGCACAATTAACAAGGTTGCAGACATTAAAACATATAACATAAAAGGAAAACATATAACAATTTATGATGGGAGTAATTAGTGGGTTACAAGGTCATAAAATATCTAAATTTAGTATATATTACCACAAGTAATAAACTACAAGGATCGTCCGAGTGATCATTCATAACATCTACAGCCAGTGTGTACAGCCTCCATGTCATTTAATACTTTAAAAGCAACCAGTGAAACCGGCTCCTGAAGATTCAGGACATTTTGCAGCTGATTCCAAGCACAGGGGGCCGCATACTTAAACGCCCCTTTTCCCAATTCAGTCCGGACTTGAGGGACAGATGGTAGTAATAAGTCCTCAGAACGAAGACAATATCTTCCTGTGCCTTTCTTTTTGATGTAGGTTTGTAGGTATGGGGGAAGCAGACCAAGAATAGCCTTGTAAACAAGAATGTGCCAATGATTAAGTCCACTGGTGGACAATGCAGACCAACCAACCCGCTCATACAAGGAGCAATGATGAGGGGCTCTGAAGGGATCGGGGTGGTGATGGTGCAATGGATAAGACTATGCCTTTGGTGTGAGAGACCCAGGTCCAACTCCCTTTTGTGACCCAATGTGTCCCTGAGCAAGACACTTAACCCCTCGTTGCTCCAGAGGCGTGCGACCTCTGACATAGTAGTCGATTTGGATAAAAGCGTCAGCTAAATGAATAAATGTAAATGTAGTTTGTGATGAACCTCGGAGCTCCGTGGTAAACAGTATCCAACAGTTTCAAGCTTTGAGAGGATGCATGCATGTGTGTAACATCGCCATAGTCCAGTACTGACATGAAAGTGGCAGCAACAAGCCTTCTTTTGGCCTCAAAGGAAAAACACCATTTGTTTCTAAAATAAAAACCCAGTTTCAACTTCAGTTTTTACCAACTGCTGAATGTGAGGTCTAAAAGAGAGAGAATCATCAATTTGGATACCGAGATACTTGTATTGAGATACAGACTCAACCTCGCAGCCCTGAGAAGTATTGAAGTGTCTGTGACTTTGATTTTGCACTGGAAAACAACATAAGTTTTGTTTTGTCGTCATTCAAAAATCCTCGTTTGATAACAGCTCTGCGAAGATTCAACTGTGAGATTGGGAGTCAAATCAGGCTCCTCCAATCGAATCATCAAATTTTGTACTATTCAGGGCCCCACTAGAGAACTGAACAGCACCAAAATAAATCTGTAGAAACATCATCCAGTCACCATGAAGGCAGCTTTCAGATGATCACAGACTGGGTAAAAGCACAAATTTTCATTCATTATTTAAATAGCACACCATGCTGAGCTGATTTGTTGGTTGTTACCCAAAATGTTTATCAAGGGTTTTTTCTCAAGTACTACAGCCAGGGTGCGAACTACAGGGGAGCCAGGGGGAGCTTGACCCCTCTTAATGAGACATGAGCTCCCCTGAAAACATGATTTGTGAAATTTTGTGGGGGTCTCTAAAATATTGACAATATGCTATTTTTGCCATAAATTTTTCTGTATCATCATGGATCATGCGTAAATCTGGAGGGACGGGCTTCATCCAGCCAGAAGGATCACCAGCCAGTCATATTGTTTGTGCTCCCGTGACCTCCTCTCCCTCGCCCTGAATGCTCCAGCATCCTGCTCCCTCTCCGGTAGACCTACTATGGGTTGCATTGCCTGCGGACCCGGGAAACTGCGGACGGCCGGTGGTTGTTTACTCTGGCTGGATAAAGTCCGACACTCCTGATTTTATGTATCATCTATGCACTACTGCTGCTGGAGGCTCTCTGTAATGCTGCTTCCATCCCACGAAGAAAATAAAAGTCAGGTCTAAACAGTGTGGAGCTGTTGTGTAGGGATGCACCCGCCCGAGAGGGTCACATGTAATATGTTTTATACTTTCTGTGAATATAATCCAATTAATCTCATTTCCATCCAGTACAGACGTCTTACTTTGAAAACCGGACGTTATCACACGTGTATCCTAAATTCATCAAGTCCGACCCAATTTGATAAATAATATTGTATGTGGTTCTCATATTGCGTAACATGTAGACTTCACAGCCTCTCTTCAGGTAGGACTGACAAACTGACAGGATACAACTTGTTACAAACTGAACGTGAGCCTGCTGTTTTTCTAAAAAAAAAACACTTATTTTGATGTTCAAGCTCATCCTAATTACATTTAATCAGGCACCATCATCCCAAGTGTATCTGCTGCAGGTGTAGCAAGTGTAACACACAAAGCTAAACTAGTCTGACACATTAAATATCAGAATCAATCAACTTGTTTAGTTGGTTTTTCCGACTCGGATTTGAAACAAAATAATCAAAGAAACAAACATACATGGATTGATGGGTTTGTGTTTTTAAGATTTTTTCCAACATAAAAATGTTCCATTTGATTTGTAGGGTTAGGTCTACTTTTTCTTTTTTGTGGCGCTTCCAAATTGTTCTCATGAGATGCTTCAGCAGCAAATGGAGTTTGCTCAGTTGTCCTTTCATTTTGTGTATCTGCTGATGCCAAGACCGACCCAAACTTATATTTACCTACAGGACATATTGTTTTACATGTGTGTAGGATACATTGAACAGCTTTAGCTTCTTAATCTGACACGATTTAAAAATAAAAATAACTTAAATAACTTTAAGATTTACTGGGATAATGTAAACCCTAATAGTTACATGGACAACATTAGTTTAAGAGTAGACAAAGCAGAAGAATTCTCTCAATCTGTCAGGAACTGTTTATTTTGGGGGAAAAAGTAGTTTTGCACTTTTTGTCGTTTACATGCGCAGAGAAACTGATATTACATTGGCCAAAAGTGAAAGTTAAAAGTATGTAATTTCTTGACAGTTGTTAACTGACATCAACATATTAGCAGTGTTACATTTGATTTTATTGTATATTACATTATAGCACTAAAACTCATGACATTTGAATAATTCAAGTTTTCTCTCAAACAGGGGTCAGTTTGATTATGAGGCTGCCGAGGCTCCTTCTTTACAGTGAATCAAATCCCATCTCGCTCTGTAATTCTGATAATGATAATTGAATTAAATGAAATGATGATTATGAGAACCCGCGACCCTGTACGCAGGATAAGCGGTTGACAATGGATGGATGGAGCTGCAATAGAATCTCTTCAAAACCTCAAAGAGAATGCCAAGATTATTTTGTGACATGTCTTTTTTAAATCCACTGAAATTAAATTATGTTTGATGAAATATTTGATCGCTTCATAATATGTTTACTAACCTAGTTTCATTATCTTTAATCTGTGTTTGTACAGGAACAGCATTCACAGACACAAAGTGCTCTGACTGCAGCAGTGGAACATTTTCAAATGGGACATTTACGTCCTGTCAGCCGCACACACAGTAAGAGAAGCTTCAGACATCTGAACTCTTCCAGCAGCAGTGAATTCATGGTTTCCTACAAATGTTGCTATAAAAATGTCCCTCTATCATTCCAGATGTGAATCAATAAACCTGAAAGCAGGAACTGCTTCAACCGATGCTGAATGTGGAGAACAAAGTTCAGACAGGACACGAGCTGTGACCGGTGCTGTTGTGGGGATTTATTTTTTATTAATATCTGGATATGTAGCTATACGGTACTTTTCCAGAAAAAAGAAAAATGGCATCCAAACAGACGTAAGATTTGCATTTAGACAATAAAAATCATGTTTCTGATAGAAGATAATATTGTCTGTCACATCATCAATTTGTTAAAAAGCTGTTTTTTGGTAATGTTGCATTACAGGAAGAAAAACAAATGCAGACAGTCCCCAAATGGTATGTTTTATACTCTTTACTGTTATAAGTCCATTTTACTGTATGTACAGTAGGAAGTAGGAATGATTTTTCTTGTAAATAATGACATCACTCTTTTATCAATATTTCACAAAGCAGGTGAATGGAGCAGAAACATCAGAGATTTTAAACAGCAGTCAACAGCAGGTGAGACAGCAGTGTGTTCTACATGTTCATTGGCTGAGGACTGTCTGACTGAGCTACACTCTGTGACGTCTTTACAAATGTACAAGATGTTTCTGCTTAAACTAAATGTTTCTCCACAGGAGGAGACAGAGCACATATAAACATGCAGAGTCTTTCTGGACACTGCAGAGTGAATGTGCTCTAGAATCCAGTGATAATCCAGTTGGATGCTGGCACAGTGTCTTTGCAGTGGACAGAAATGAAATCAGCTGAATGTCCTGCACGGCGCTACAAGCTGAACACGTCCTCTTCAGAAGTGCTGGTCTACAGTCTGGATCATTATCTCACACAGATGTTACTGTACAGAGACTGAAGTCAGCCTGGAATAACAACATGGAGTGAGCTGCAGACTTCCAGCCAATCATCTTCATGTGACTGTACATGTAGGCTTCTTTCTTCTTCTGTGATGGTCACAGAGCTCATAGCTGGATCTGAACACAGGATACGACTGAAACTGGACTTTATCTGTCATAAACCAGAACAAAGAGCTGGAACAGAAAACGGATACAATCTGAACTGCAACATGATGGACAAATGGAGACTTTGATCAAAAGCAGAGAGGCTGGATAGTGTGCAGTGTGCAGGTACAGCTCCAAATCAGCGTGTGAGAGGAGGAGAGGTAGTCCACATGCTGAATATTGAAACTTCCAAATAATATTAATTTAGCAATATTTTGAACAGGTGAAATATCTTTGTTTGAAACATTCCCTCATTAAACTCCTGGCAGCCTGTGATATTCAGCATGTGGACTTTTTCCGTGAGTTAAAATTGTATCTCCCTGCTGAGTCAGCTGATAAAACACAACAGATGTTAAATGAAATTACAGTCGGCTCACAGACAGTAATGACATTTAGTATTAATAATGAATGCTATTGGCTGAGCTGCATGTGTCCAGAAGTTACTGAGAGTCAGTGTGTTCATGTTAGTGTAAATCTGTGTTTGTCACTACATTTTGTTTTTATAATGTACAATAAAGTTTTTGTAAAGCTGTGTGAGTCCTCAAGCCAAACACAATTAGGCCTGTTACTGATTTGATAGTATTTATAGTTTTTACAAGAACTGTTTACCTTACAAATAAGTGTCTAAGTAGAAATAATCCAGTACTATGTCAAAACATAAATGTGCCTAGACTCCCTCTTAATCTATCATGGTATATGTAAAGAAAACATGTTTAACATGCAGAATGATATTCTGGTTAATTATGATAAAGGTCACATGGAAAGAGTGAAGGTGGTGCTGACTGGAAGGTGCTTAAACCTACTTCTGAAAACAGGCCTGAAGAGACACATCTCCTGTGATTCTTTATGGTAACTGCTGAACATGGACCACTTGTGACCTCATTGGTTACTCTGTGGGACATTTCTCATGTCTCCTAATGTGAAAGCAAAGCAAGCACAAGTACCATAGACTTCGGTGCAGGTGGTGACACTTTCATCTTCTCGCAATCACTTATCTTCCCCCATAGGTTTCTGGATGACCAATATGACATCTCTCTCCCTTTCTTTCTCTCTCTCTAATAGCCAGCTATTGTTCATTATATGACAGATTTTGAATGTTTTCCTGTTATGCATTTTATGCAAAGGCTTAACACTGTCTGAAACACTTTTTTTATATATGAAAAAGCGTTTATTTTTTTTACTTTTATTTTATTTGTGGAAATGAAAAAAAGGGAAATTTCACTGCTTCTCCACATTAGACCAGGGCCAGATCCAAAACCACTATATGTAGAGCTTTCAAATCCTGACTAGATTGTCCCAGAGAGACAAGAAACTTTAGCCCCTCTGAACCAGGGCGATTGGCCACTGAGGGGGCTGTGTGTGTGTGTGTGTGTGTGTGTGTGTATAATCTAAATATAATGCAGTGGAATCAATGCCTTCTGAGTTGGTTAAAACAATTTCCCACATCATACCTTAACGATGTGAATAAGTCTAATGCAAATTAAAATAAGATCTTCAGACTTTTCATTTTCCGACGGGACAGTAACACATCTGTAAAACACAGAACACCTTAATGTACATGAAAATGAATACATAAGACAAAATAGACTGATAACTGATGTGTGAACAAGTATGTAGACTAAAAAGTCCAGTCTGGTCAGTAGCACAATATGTTTACTGTGACCTGGCTTGTATGTGTCCCTTTGTAACAAGCCAAGTCATTAATATATTTAAATCACACATCGCTGAGACAGTATTACTATTTAGATACACAAAACTGAGAGATATACTACATTTTCTATAGTTAAATCTGAAACAATATTACAGCAGGATATGTTATACAGGTATAATATGACTGTGGACATTGTGCACACATGAAGTGGAACCGAGCAGATGACCGGTGAACTATTGAGTTGACGTTACATTATATAAAGCTGAAATACAACCGTGGTGTTCTTTTGGGAGATGCAGTGACTTCAACCAGCAAACTAAAAATCAAGTAGCAACCAAGCATTGAACATTAGCAAGCATTGTCAAAGTCAGATAAAGAGCTGACACACCATCTGATTCCTGTCACAGTTTCATCTGAACTGTCTTCACTGAGTGTGAATTTAGCACACATCATAAAATGTATTAAATCCACATTCAGCCAAAATGGAGCAAAATACTCTATTTGCTGTCCCCTCAAAATAACACATCACACAGACATTAATGTCTAAACCGCTGGCAACAAAAGTGAGTACACCCCTAAGTGAAAATGTCCAAATTGGGCCCAAAGTGTCAATATTTTGTGTGGCCACCATTATTTTCCAGCACTGCTTTAACCCTCTTCGGCATGGAGTTCACCAGAGCTTCACAGGTTGCCACTGGAGTCCTCTTCCACTCCACATCACGGAGCTGGTGAATGTTAGAGACCTTGCTCTCTTCCACCTTCCGTTTAATGATAAACTGCTCAACACACACACACACACAAACTGCACACGCACACACTGTGTTCTTGTCTAGATAGGAACTCTTTATTGGCAAATTTGTGTGTCTTATTTCCTCCCTGTCCACTGTTTAACAACTGATAAGATTATATGCAGTAAATACCTCACCTTAAATTCATTTCTTTCCATATTAACAAAACACGTGTGCTCTGCTAGTCTGCTTGTCAGATTTTACATTTCACCCGGTTTCTGGAGTGTTGTCATCTTCTCACATGATTAAATAGAAACTTAAGATTGGGCAGCCATACACATATTATCCAGCAATCATTGCACATGTAGCTGTGTGACATAAATACCAAAGAAACTTTTTTTTCAGTTGAAGAAGAATTAATTTAATTACAGTAAATGATGTCACTCATTTATCAATATTTCACTAAACAGAAACATCTGGACTGAGAAATGTCAGTGATGAATTCAGACAGATGATAACAGCAGGTGAGACAGTAGTGTGTTCTACATGTTCATTGGCTGAGGACTGTCTGACTGAGCTACACTCTGTGACGTCTTTACAAATGTACAAGATGTTTCTGCTTAAACTAAATGTTTCTCCACAGGAGGAGACAGAGCACATATAAACATGCAGAGTCTTTCTGGACACTGCAGAGTGAATGTGCTCTAGAATCCAGTGATAATCCAGTTGGATGCTGGCACAGTGTCTTTGCAGTGGAGAGAAATGAAATCAGCTGAATGTCCTGCACGCTGAGCAACAAGCTGAACACGTCCTCTTCAGAAGTGCTGGTCTACAGTCTGGATCATTATCTCATACAGATGTTACTGTACAGAGACTGAAGTCAGCCTGTAATAACAACATGGAGTGAGCTACAGACTTCCAGCCAATCATCTTCATGTGACTGTACATGTAGGCTTCTTTCTTCTTCTGTGGTGGTCACAGAGCTCATAGCTGGATCTGAACACAGGATACGACTGAAACTGGACTTTATCTGTCATAAACCAGAACAAAGAGCTGGAACAGAAAACGGATACAATCTGAACTGCAACATGATGGACAAATGGAGACTTTGATCAAAAGCAGAGAGGCTGGATAGTGTGCAGTGTGCAGGTACAGCTCCAAATCAGCGTGTGAGAGGAGGAGAGGTAGTCCACATGCTGAATATTGAAACTTCCAAATAATATTAATTTAGCAATATTTTGAACAGGTGAAATATCTTTGTTTGAAACATTCCCTCATTAAACTCCTGGCAGCCGGTGATATTCAGCATGTGGACTTTTTCTGTGAGTTAAAATTGTATCTCACTGCTGAGTCAGCTGATAAAAACACAACTGATGTTGAATAAAATTACAGTCGGCTCACAGACAGTAATGACATTTAGTATTAATAATGAATGCTATTGGCTGAGCTGCATGTGTCCAGAAGTTACTGAGAGTCAGTGTGTTCATGTTAGTGTAAATCTGTGTTTGTCACTACATTTTGTTTTTATAATGTACAATAAAGTTTTTGTAAAGCTGTGTGAGTCCTCAAGCCAAACACAATTAGGCCTGTTACTGATTTGATAGTATTTATAGTTTTTACAAGAACTGTTTACCTTACAAATAAGTGTCTAAGTAGAAATAATCCAGTACTATGTCAAAACATAAATGTGCCTAGACTCCCTCTTAATCTATCATGGTATATGTAAAGAAAACATGTTTAACATGCAGAATGATATTCTGGTTAATTATGATAAAGGTCACATGGAAAGAGTGAAGGTGGTGCTGACTGGAAGGTGCTTAAACCTACTTCTGAAAACAGGCCTGAAGAGACACATCTCCTGTGATTCTTTATGGTAACTGCTGAACATGGACCACTTGTGACCTCATTGGTTACTCTGTGGGACATTTCTCATGTCTCCTAATGTGAAAGCAAAGCAAGCACAAGTACCATAGACTTCGGTGCAGGTGGTGACACTTTCATCTTCTCGCAATCACTTATCTTCCCCCATAGGTTTCTGGATGACCAATATGACATCTCTCTCCCTTTCTTTCTCTCTCTCTAATAGCCAGCTATTGTTCATTATATGACAGATTTTGAATGTTTTCCTGTTATGCATTTTATGCAAAGGCTTAACACTGTCTGAAACACTTTTTTTATATATGAAAAAGCGTTTATTTTTTTTACTTTTATTTTATTTGTGGAAATGAAAAAAAGGGAAATTTCACTGCTTCTCCACATTAGACCAGGGCCAGATCCAAAACCACTATATGTAGAGCTTTCAAATCCTGACTAGATTGTCCCAGAGAGACAAGAAACTTTAGCCCCTCTGAACCAGGGCGATTGGCCACTGAGGGGGCTGTGTGTGTGTGTGTGTGTGTGTGTGTGTGTGTATAATCTAAATATAATGCAGTGGAATCAATGCCTTCTGAGTTGGTTAAAACAATTTCCCACATCATACCTTAACGATGTGAATAAGTCTAATGCAAATTAAAATAAGATCTTCAGACTTTTCATTTTCCGACGGGACAGTAACACATCTGTAAAACACAGAACACCTTAATGTACATGAAAATGAATACATAAGACAAAATAGACTGATAACTGATGTGTGAACAAGTATGTAGACTAAAAAGTCCAGTCTGGTCAGTAGCACAATATGTTTACTGTGACCTGGCTTGTATGTGTCCCTTTGTAACAAGCCAAGTCATTAATATATTTAAATCACACATCGCTGAGACAGTATTACTATTTAGATACACAAAACTGAGAGATATACTACATTTTCTATAGTTAAATCTGAAACAATATTACAGCAGGATATGTTATACAGGTATAATATGACTGTGGACATTGTGCACACATGAAGTGGAACCGAGCAGATGACCGGTGAACTATTGAGTTGACGTTACATTATATAAAGCTGAAATACAACCGTGGTGTTCTTTTGGCAGATGCAGTGACTTCAACCAGCAAACTAAAAATCAAGTAGCAACCAAGCATTGAACATTAGCAAGCATTGTGCCAGACGAAAGATGTAGTTCATTGAAGGGGTTTCACACAAAACTAAATGTTACTTTACTGTTTCACAACAAACTGCAACTTTTTTACTGTAAATTGACAGACATCATACGTGAAATTCTGGGATCAATTCTAACGGGATAAAAAGATAATCTGTCTCACCACCGTTGATACGTACATATTTTTTCTGAAATAAGGTCCAGTGGGGTGGAAGCAGAAGCAGAAGTGAGGGAAAAATCTTCTAAAATGAGGTTTTTAAATGTGGATTGAATGTCGGCTGTGAAATTCACTCTGTCAAGTCAAAGTCAGATAAAGAGCTGACACACCATCTGATTCCTGTCACAGTTTCATCTGAACTGTCTTCACTGAGTGTGAATTTAGCACACATCATAAAATGTATGAAATCCACATTCAGCCAAAATGGAGCAAAATACTGTATTTGCTGTCCCCTCAAAATAACACATCACACAGACATTAATGTCTAAACCGCTGGCAACAAAAGTGAGGACACCCCTAAGTGAAAATGTCCAAATTGGGCCCAAAGTGTCAATATTTTGTGTGGCCACCATTATTTTCCAGCACTGCTTTAACCCTCTTCGGCATGGAGTTCACCAGAGCTTCACAGGTTGCCACTGGTGTCCTCTTCCACTCCACATCACGGAGCTGGTGAATGTTAGAGACCTTGCTCTCTTCCACCTTCCGTTTAATGATAAACTGCTCACACACACACACACACACACACACACAAACTGCACACGCACACACTGTGTTCTTGTCTAGAAAGGAACTCTATATTGGCAAATTTGTGTGTCTTATTTCCTCCCTGTCCACTGTTTAACAACTGATAAGATTATATGCAGTAAATACCTCACCTTAAATTCATTTCTTTCCATATTAACAAAATACGTGTGCTCTGCTAGTCTGCTTGTCAGATTTTGCATTTCACTCGGTTTCTGGAGTGTTGTCATCTTCTCACATGATTAAATAGAAACTTAAGATTGGGCAGCCATACACATATTACCCAGCAATCATTGCACATGTAGCTGTGTGACATAAATACCAAAGAAACTTTTTTTTCAGTTGAAGAAGAATTCATTTAATTACAGTAAATGATGTCACTAATTTATCAATATTTCACTAAACAGAAACATCTGGACTGAGAAATGTCAGTGATGAATTCAGACAGATGATAACAGCAGGTGAGACAGCAGTGTTTTCTACATGTTCATTGGCTGAGGACTGTCTGACTGAGCTACACTCTGTGACGTCTTTACAAATGTACAAGATGTTTCTGCTTAAACTAAATGTTTCTCCACAGGAGGAGACAGAGCACATTCACTCTGCAGTGTCCAGAAAGACACTGCAGAGTGTGATGCTGGCAAATTGTCTTTGCAGTGGACAGAAATGAAGTCAGCTGAATGTCCTTTACAAGCTTTGCTCCTTTTTTAATTTTTTTTTTCTATCACCTTTATTACTGAGACAAGTAAGACTGAAACTGCTCAGAAAATCATTGGTTACCATCTCCTGAGCATGAGTGCAGCGCACCTGGAGACGATCACTGGCCACGGCATCACCCGTCCATACAACCAGACCAGCTGGACCAGACGTCACCGCAATGGTGTGATCAGGCCAGGAAAAGAGGAAAGCGAGCTGGGAAAAGAGCTAAACTAACCCAGATTAGACCTAAGGCTTTTTAGCTTCCCTTCTTTACTGAGCAGATGTGAGAAGAGTCCTGCTAAGGGTGAATATGAGTGTAGCTGGGCCTGATAACATCTCCGGCTGTGTACAAAAACATCTGTCAATCAGCTAGTTGATGTTATTACTAAAATCTTCAACAGCTCACTGTCTCAGCAGTTTCATTTCAGAACCAACAGATCCACAGACCATGCCATCTCCACTGCCCTCCACTCAGCCTTCACATATTAATCTTGCAAAAAACAACAGAGCCCAAAGGATGTTTTAGGACAGTACCCACGCAGCCACAGCATGTTCACCCTGCTGCCTTCTGGGAAGACATATAGAAGTATCTGCTGCCGTACCACCAGACTGCAGAGCAGCTTTATCCCCAGGCTGTGAGACACCACCACCTATATGACAATAAATCAATTTTCCACTTTGACATACTGTATCAACATATTGGGCCCCAGAACACACAAAACACGAAAAATCAGATTTGGAAAATGGCAGGGTTCTTTTTACTTTCAAACACACAAAATGGTCATATGAACATAAAAAGGTAAAACTGAGATAACATCAACTATATACATCTATTTAGAACAAGCAGGTGAGGAAATGTACAACAAAAAGCAGGTGAGGCGATTTGTATCAATGACGACACAAAGGGCAACATCACAGGCCTTGCATTTCCACAGTGGGAGGTTTCTTATTTTTTCCACTTGGTGGCAGCATTGGCAGGTCCAAAGGTAACATGATCAGTGCTCCTGTTGTTTGGAACCCTGTCTTGTCCACTCCACACAGTCGGGACACCAGTTCAGCCAGACAGTTCTTGTTCATCATGTGCTGTAATTCTTGTGTGTTGCTGATCTCACAGTGCAGTTGTGAGTTGTGAGTTATTTTTTAATACATTTATTTTGTGAGACCACCAACACAGTAGGCCGAATTGTAGTAGTTTTGTAAGAGTAGGTCTACAGTTACCCAGGCAGATTTAAACTAAACCTTCCTGCTGCTGAGGCCCAAGGGGTGGGGGCTGATGGCTTGTTGGGAGAGGTAAGGGCCAATGAAGCATTTGTCGGGCAAAGTCTGACCATAAGAGTAGCTATTGAAGGAGTTGAGCTGCAAGGGGTATTAGATTCAGGGTCAGAGGTCACCTTAATGAGGCAGAGCTTATTTGAACATTTTGCTCAGGCTAATCCAGGGTGGGGCGTTATGATAGTTCACACTACTAAACCCTTACTTGTTGCAATGAATGTAGTAGAGGACTGCTAGAGCACAAGGGGGCTGGAAGAAATGCTTTCTCTCCTAGCCAGCAGACAAACCCAAAGATCTGGAGGGATGCCTTTGCGACCCGTTATTATGTGGAAGCCACTGTGGCAGAGAACGGGATAACAGCTTTGACATGGGACTGGTGAACGTCACTACTGACCTGAAAAATCGAGAACTACCGAAACAGGTGAGCAGTAAAACTAATCAATCCAATCTGTCTGCACAACAAAGCAGGAGCCACATGCTCTGCTGCTCAAAGGAGGAGTGTGTTCACCAGTGAATGGAAGGAAGGGCAGGCTGGTGATTCTGACATTCATGTCATCAAAGGTGGGTGGGGAGACACACCCAGGAAAGCTAGATCAGACCACTCAAACTATAGTAAGGCCCCGATACTGATTCTACACCGATGAAAGATCTGTGTGATACACACAGATCTTTCATCGGGGTAGAATCTAAGGTAAGGAATCAAACGACACACTAGCATCCCAAGGGGATTAGAAGTGCTGAGCGCTTTAACCAAACCAGGACCCTGGACCAGGGGGCCCCCTCTGATCCATCTCCCTGTGCCTCTGTTGGAGT